TCGATAGTAAATTTCGGTACTTTTCCATTTTTCCGGAGGAGAGTAAACTCTCTTGTGACTTTCTCACCGCTGTGGCGTATAAGTAAAACCCCTTCTGGACGATGCTAAGTGTTTTGGCAGAATGCCCGCCAACGTTGGCGTTTGGCGTGATCGAACTATAACATCTAGCAACAAGTGTCACTCAAATAACATAAATGTGATAAAATACCTTTCTCATACGCCAAATAGTATACCTACTGCAGAATTTCAGACTCCACGCTTCGTCTGCACCCAAAATGAAATATGTCGTGATGATTTTTTTTTAAGAAGTAGAAAACAAATTTGAATTATTGGAATGCGTTTATTTAGGAACAATGATCGGGAAATACATCAAATCAATCAAACTATTAAGCTCCTTAACATAAGAAGCAATAGGGTAGTCACCATGATCACGCCAAAGAAAGCGATTTAATGAATCTAATAATCTAATAATTAAGGACGCTATGTGTTTTATTGGTACTGTTCGGTTTCGGAGCCCACCAGCGGCCGAGCGGTAAAGTCGCTGAACACTGGTAGTTCGGTTCGAGTTTCGAATCCCGCGAACGGGCTGGCTGCATGGGCGTTTTCGTGGTTTTTCGCATGTGTAACGTGTATACGAGCCAGTTTCCCTTAGAAAGTCCTCCACTAAGGCATCCCTTCCCTTGGGCAGATAGCCCTAGTGTGCTTTGCCATAATTAAATACACCAACACCAACTGTTCGGTTTCGAGGGCCGTAAAAAAATTGCAGCGAAAATGTACTCGCAAAAGCGCCAAATCTAGCAAAGGCGCTCATTTAACAGCGCGCCAAATCTAGCGTACGCGTTGATTTCAGATTGCATAAGTTTATATAGTTCTATATTTCTTAAGACGCCATTGAAATACTAGTTTAATTTTTAAATCCCTTTTTGATTTTAAATCCTTTTTTGGTACAACTCTGATAAACGCCCTAATTTCACGAAATGTGGCGATATGTGTTTTGCGCTGGTTTTTGGCGCGATTGCGTGTTGTATGGCAACCATGTCGACGTTGAAAAATCTTTTGGTGGAGTAGTTTAATTGCTAGTTGGTTCGTGTCGCGTGTGTTTTTGAAATGGCCTATGTTGCGATGAAAGACGTGGTGGGAAGGTTTCAGCCGCGTATTTTAGATTGTGTGCAGAGTAAATTTAGTATGAAAAGGTACGATGGAGTCTTTTGTTCACGGATGTATTTATGGGGATCGTAGTGTATTTTTGGAATTTCTGTGGGAGTCGGGACTTTTAAAACGGAGTTTGACGTGTCCGAAATGCGGAGCTGATATGAGAACTCGGACGAAAAATGGTGTTTCTGATAGACTTGTGTGGGTTTGCAGTAAAATTGTTGCTAATAAAGTATGTGGGTGTCAGCGGAGTTTAAGGTTTGGATATTGGTTTTCGTGTAGCAAGTTAACGTTGGAGGAAGTTTTTATCGTTACTTTCGAAATTTCGAATCGTAGGAAGGCATGTGATATAGCAAAATCGTGGAAGTTTTCTTCACAGACGTTGTGTGACTGGCGAAATTTTATTAACGAATGTATTTTGGACTTTGTATGCTCTGTATCTGAGAAGATAGGGGGGAAAGATATTTCTGCTTTTAAAAGAAGCTTTCATTATGGTAAGTGCATCTTATTTTATTGTTTTTATTTTGTAGAATGTTATATTCATTGTTTTTTGTATGAATTTCTGTTTTTATTGTTGTTTTTTGAATTGTCTGAAATTTATTTTAGTTTATTTTCTTGATTTGTTTTTAGTGTAGATTGTGCAATTCGTAGATGTTTTTTAAAGTTGAAACAGAACGTTGTGTACATGGTATTCTTTGAAATTTATTGTTGTTATGTTAATTTATTAAAGCGAGGTGTGCGTAGTTCGTAGATTCGTTCGTTGCCTACAGTGTACCATTCGTAGATGTTTTTTAAGTTAAAACATGTCGCTGTGTACATGGATTCTTGTCAAATATTTTTGGTTAGAAACTTTACGTTTTTGCTATCTAAATTTTTTGTTTTTGTTTCGGATTTTTAGCTTAAATCGTGTGTTCAAAACGTAGTTTTTGCATGTGCGAAAACCGTGTTTTTTGGAGACATTTTAGACTTAAAGTTCGAAATGTAGACAAAAAATTTAGATAGTAATATGGCAGCTTGAAGTTTCTCGCAAAAAATATTTGGCGAGAAATTTGGCGACTTGAGGGCGCATATTCAGAGTAGTTCCCCTTTTTTTTAATATCCTATGGATTTAACAATTTGGGAATTGCGCATGGCGAAAAGTCGGCAATAGAATTTTGGGTAAAGTGCAGAATCATCCACTGCTTGACGCGTTTTTAAGAATTGCATATACTCGGTATCCATGTGCACATCGACCTATTTTTCACTTTAAAAAAAACCCTAGAATTGCACAAAAATGGCACTGCGCACACCCTTGACTTTATCTATGTACACATCGACCTATTTTCACTTAAAAAGTAAAAGAAAATTGACAAAAATCCAATTGTTTTTACCCTTGTAAAAAGCGGCAAACAAATAAGTGAGCGATTCTGCACTTTACCGAGAATATTTTCAAAGAAAATGCATCATTCATTATAGGAAATTACGTTTGAACAACCAACGAGATGAAATTATGCTTTAACGATAAGTGGGTAGCGAAATAGCGATGCAGGCATCCATTCAGTTATGTTTAGCAATTTTTATATAAATTATAATAATGACCTGAAATAGTTATTTACTCTTATGCTTCCATTCAGTCATGTTTAGCCTTTTTCATATAAATTATAATAATAAAAAAGTATTATATGAAATTAACCTTTCATCTAAATTAAAACATCAGCCAAAACATCAATCTTAAATAGTTATTTACTATTATACTTCCTTTCTTGACGCAATTATTAGGGTTGCTGCAATTATTTTTGGCAGCATTGGTCAACAATAATTTGGCGATTTTTTACGGCCCTCGAAACCGAATAGTACCGTTTTATTTAATTAAATCAAACACATATTTAAAAAGATGAATTCACCGATATATCAATATCAACATTTCTATAAATGTTTCAAGATGAGTCTCTGTGAACTGCTCACAAAAAAAAAATGCTATTTTGAGTATAAGTTAACTCTCTCTGATCTTGAAATTAATTCCTGAAATCCCCTTAAAACAAAAAACACCCTGCAAATATAAAGCTTTCTAATCCGTTTTGTACCTGTACGGGTAAGAAATAATAACAATTAGGGCTAATTGGCTAACATCTAATTAAAAAGCACTTTACAAAATAAATGTGCATAGCTTTTGCATTTAGAACTCGTCTAATAATGCTAAAGGCAGGAGAATACACTGCATAATTTCTGTTCATGCACTTAATATCAAGAACTAACTATGTTTCGGACCCCAATAGTTGCAGGATAGTTAAGTCGGCTGAATTCTGGGAGTTCGATTCCAGGCGAACGTGCTGTCTGCCTGATTTGTTTTCCTGGTTTCCCTCAAATACATCATTAATTCGAGTCAGTTTCGCTTAGAAAGTCTTCCACGAAGGCATCCTTCCTCTTAGGAAGATACCCTTGTATGCTTTTCCATATTCAGATAATATAACCTAACCTCATTAAGTTGCGATTAGTGTTTGGGACAGTTAACCACTAAAATCAAAAACATATTTAAAAAGCTGAACTTAGTGATACATCATATCAACAAAATAATTTGTTGTTACGAAAAATGTTTTCAAAATAAGGTGTTTCATCCTGATCCTAAAATAATTTCTGAAATCGTTTAAATTCACACAAAAGCCTTAAAATTAAAGCTACCTATTAAAATTTGCATACAAGTAAGAAATAATAATGATTGTAAAAAATTATCCGACTCTTAATAAAAAAAATCATTTTATCGAAAATATTATATTTTCATATCTTATGCCCACCGATATAGATAAAAATTTCTTCAAATATTTTTTTTCCAAATAACATCAAGAACTCCTCTAAAATTGCTGAAGACGAGAGAATAAACTGCAGAATTTCTCTTCTGGCAATTGATGTCTAGAACTCCTATAATTATGAAAGGGACAGGAAAATAGAAATACATATTTTTTTTTACTCTGTCTCCCTCCCAAAACTTACGAAATCAAAGCAAGGTAAAGTGAGTAAGTAGTAATATAGTAATATACCTGAGATGTAGATCGAAAAAATATTTCGGTCCTTATTTGAGATTGAATGTGCAAAAAGAAATGTTAAATGAAACCACACACTATTTACATTTTGAGAAGACACTCAAATGAAAAAAAGAAAAGCCTTTCATTTTGAAAGTTTTTTAAAGTGAAAAAATTCTTTACTCTGTAGCTTAAACTAAATAATTGGCCCAGAAAATGGAAGGCAACAATCTGCGAAAGATTTTCTTTCTTTCTTTGTCTTTTTAGGTAAAGTAAAATTAATAATTTCAGGAATGTATTTAGGTGCCATTATAAGACATTCCTAGGAATTACGTAAGAAACTAAAATGGTAGCATCTATTCCGTGATCTGTAAGATAAAACTCTCCTGTTTACGGAATCTTGTTCAGTTTCTAAAAGTTAAGAGCATCAAAAAAAGTTTTGTTGCAAAACTTAATGGAGCGAAACTTAACGGGAAATTAAAATGTTATTTTATTGCAAAGCTATATAAAGCTCGCTTTTCAATAGCACTCATTTTCATACCTTAGTTTTCCTGTATAATTTAGAAGTTTGTTTCGTTAAAGGAACTCTGCGATTTCAGATACCTAACACATGATGAAAATAAGGTAATAAAACTCACTCTGAATACTTGCGATACGATCTGTGTATAAAACTTCTTAAATATGTGAATGTGTAAAGCTAAGTTCTGGTATGATTAAGAGAAGTAAAAATTGGAAGTAACGTAACGATCAGGCTTTTTTTTTTTTTTTTTTTTTTTTTTGAGAACATCAAAACGTGGAAATAAAATTAAAATTTCTAAAATTATTAATTTTAGAAATCTTTCATGTACTTACATATACAGAGACAAGCCAAGAAACGTATAGCAGAATCAGGAGGTTCACAGTCCGGATAGATGGGACGTAACACGTAAAAGGAAAAGGTCAGAGCCACTATTGCTTGAGAGCATGGACGGACGATCATGCATTCGACCCAGAGTCGTATGAATGCAACGAAAGGCCCGAATGATTCCATGATGTACGCATAATCAGCCCCTGTTTTAGTTATCATACAGCCTAGCTCTGCATAGCAGTAGGCACCGACCATAGAAAAAATTCCTGACGTGACCCATACCACCAACGATAAGCCGACACTGCCGGTACCTTTCGACACACCTTTCGGACTAACGAAAATCCCTGACCCTATGATACTTCCGACGATGACCGTCACTCCATTCAACAGACTCATTTTCGGCTTCAAACAGATCACATCGGAAGCCGGTTTCTCTTCTTGAGGAGACTTGGGAGTCATTTTCAAGCATTCTTTGTCGGACGAATTTTCCGCGACGGCCATTGCTCTGGAGCTTGCTCTCTCTTTCTCTCAGTTGGAAGGTATTCGCTCATGCGCTTTCCTCCGCATCTGCTTGGCGGAATATGAAGAGAGGGTATTTGTCAAAGGCCTGCCAAACAGCGCCAAGGAGCGCACCTTGATAAGATTAACTTTTTTACGCGCTTGTTTAAGAATAATGAATAATTTAGAGAGGGGAAAATTAAAATTCCTTGAATTGCATGAAATGAACTCATTTTTTTTTTCATAGTACTAAAAGGAAAATATCAAAATTGAAAATACCTTTTCAAAATATCGCATTTATTTTGTTTCTTGAGTTTCAGTTCCCCTCAAAATATATCGCAAGTAAGTCTGATATGATTTTCAAGGAACGGAAATATTCTCTGATATGAAGAATTTTTAAGAACTGTTAGGTTAGGTTAATCGATTAATTCAAAGCAACTCGAGGATTATCTGCCTATAGGAAGGGATGCATTCGAGTTGGACACTAAAAGAGAGGCTGGCTTGTAACTACGTTACATATAGAAAAAACCACGAAACCGCCTTTGCAGCCAGACCTCTTGCCGGGATTTGAACCCGGGACGAATTACCAGGTTTAGCTATTTTTCCACTTGGTCACTGGTAAGAAAAATTGAAAACTTAATAAAGTAAATCTAAATAAAGCTCTCATACACTGCAGCATTTTAATCTAAAGACAGATATGTATGAGGTATAAAAAATAAATGTTTAATAGTATGAATAATATAACACAGCAATAGTATGAGGTATAAAAAATAAATGTTTAATAGTATGAATAATATAACACAGTAATAGTATGAGGTATAAAAAATAAATGTTAAGATATTTTATAAACATTGTGCATACACTTTCTGTCGTATTATTTAGGTATGAAAGTTAGGTTAACTATGGATCATCAGCAAATTAAACATAACAGAGTAATGAAACTGCTTTGCATGGAAATTCTTCCGAAGTTCTAGGGAATGCATATAAATTAAATTTAAACACGCCAGGATAGATTCTTAATTTAATAAATCTTAACTCATAATTTTGTACTCCAGTACTCTTAATATCTACATTAAATGGCAGCTTTTATCCTAATTAAATATTTTTCCGTTATTTCTCAAAGAATTATGTTCTTAGTTTACAGCACATTTTCAGTTTTCCACTAGTTATAAAAAATTCACAAAATTAATCAACATTTGGTTTGCTGAATTCTTCTGAAATTGAGATCTACTAATTTTAGATTCCTGGGTAAATTGTATTTTTCAGGTTATTTAGAGCAGCAAATCATGGAAACACCCATACAGCCAGTCCGTTTAGCGGAATGGGAAAGATATCAATGATACGGTCAGTGGTACCCACTCGTGTTCAGCAGTTTTATCTATTCGTCTATTGATGAGCCTATGAAACCAAGGAGAGTAAAGAAGTAGACAATATTTTATTACTAAGAAGTAAACACCCTTTTAGTACTGGGCCCACCAGCGGCCGAGCGGTAAAGTCGCTGAACACTGGTAGTTCACTGGTACAAAAAAATTACTTTTCTTTAAAAATTGCAGAGTTTTTCCGAACATTCCAATGAGTTGAAAGAATTTACTTTATTTCCCAGACAACGATTTTCTAAATTAAATATGATATAAGAATTTCCTTTTTCTTATAGGAAATAGAAAATCTACAAGTAGTAAAACACGTGTTGCTAGGCGACGCTTACGACATGGGTGTCTGAAAGAAACGTAATTTAGATAAGCCTTAAAATTTGTCGCTATTGCTGAAAATCGAAAGGAGAGGAATTTTATCTTAAAAGTTTCTAAAGAATTTATTTAAACGGAGCATCTATTAGGACATCTGGGAGAAAAAAATTTATAATTTAAAAATTCCCTTTAAGAAAACTTTCATAAAAATAGCACACGCAGAATATGACATTTTACTGACTTAAGTTATTTCAATTTACAGTAATTCCTCGATAAGTAATGTATTCCCGAACCAATTTTGTAACTTTCTTAAGTGTAACTTCGTAAGGAACTCCAATATTTATTATATGTAAGTAGGAATATATATATTATTCATACAGTACTTTATTATAAATTAAACATCATCCAGGATTATTTACTCGAATATGAAATATCAAAGTATTAAAAATATACTGGCGACAGGTGAAAATTAGTCCGGACACCCGGGCGGCTTACATAGACTAATCGGGTATTGTCCGGATCCCGCAACTATTTAGTGCAACACTCCGGTGCCCCACAAGGAAAGCATGGATTAAAAATATACAGATTAATGTAAAAACAAACTAAAATAAAAATTTTCTAATAAAAAAAGGTCTTGGGACAGCTAATATGGTTCTTTTGGAGAGTAGGCGCTGCAGGTTGGTGGCTGTGAAGATATGCTGGTCTTTGACAATTCTACTTTTTTTGATGTTGAAGTCTGAAAGCAGTCGGGGTCTTTTGATTTGTTCTTCTGACAATGGTGTAGGGATATCTCGCAAATATGCCCAGAGTAAATTGGGTTGGTCACACTTTTTTTGTCATTGTTAATGGCCTTGTACTTCAACATATCGAATGGATATGGCTGCTAACATTTTTGAACCGCTTGGTGTTTGTATGTCGGACTTCTCTTGTTGATCTTGTAAGTCTTTATGTAAAGACATGGTCTTCTGCTTGGATAACAAGATCCTCGATCCAGTGAAACAAATCTTCCATCTCTGAAATCGGGCCTAGACTTTTCTTGATAATGATTGTGCGCTTCAACTTTAGCACAACTTTCACGCTTTCAACAATGTGAAATTTATATTTCAGTATCGTTATTATTGTCGAAATAGATGGATTTGAATCCTGAGTAGTTGATATGATTTTCCCCTTTTCATGCATATGAATTATTTTCAACTTTTCTGCTGCAGTAATTGGAGTTTCGTCAGATTCATTACCAGCGCATTCAATTTTGTGTTTCGAATCAATCTCAAAGGCAAATAAACACTCAACACTAACAGTGGTAAACAAGTAACTAAACGAACCAGACGAATATTGTTTAAGTACAAGAAGTACGGATTGGATTAAGGAGGAGCCCACCAACGGCCAAACGGTAAAGTCACTGAACATTGGAAGCTCAAACCGGAATTCGATTCCATATGAACGGGCTCGTTGCATCAGCGTTTTCGTGTTTTTCCTCATGTTTAACGGGAATACAAACCAGTTTCCCTTAGAAAATGCTCCACGGAGGCATCCCTTCCCCTAGGCATGTAGCCCTCGTGAGCTTTACTGTAATCAAACAAACCAAACCAAACCGTAGGAAAAGGAGAAATTGTTTGCGGATTTCTTATTTCTTATTGGTAGGTTTCAGTTTGAATGTTACAACTTTTGCCCCTTACGTAACTGCGAATTAACGTATGTGTGTGTGTTTGATTATGGCAAAGCCTCGAGGGCTATCTGCCTAAGGGAGGAGGGATGCCTTCGTGCAGGACTTTCTAAGGGAAACTGGCTCGTATACACGTTACACATGGGGAAAATCACGCGAATTAACGTAAATGGAAGTTTTACTACTACGCATTGCTTAAGATTTCATTCTTCTTGATTTCTACGCAAAATTAGCGTATACTAATAAATGGATTATGAAAATAACAGTATTCTGTATAGTTAAATTTTTGGTATATTTACTAATTTATCGTAATAAGCAAAAATGCTTATAAAATGCATAGAATACTCTCCGTTATAACTCGCACAAACAGTTTTCCGATATGTTATATGTGGCAACTCGATACTTCTGCCAAGAAAACATGCTTTTCCCATCAGTTCATTTCAACTCGTGGTAACGTTTTTGGGTTAGAATAGACCTAAGGGTACCTCTTGTATTATCGCAAAGTTGTTTCATTTATCGCCAAGTTGTTGTTTCATTTATGGTAACCTGAGTAGTTGAATGTTCCGTAAATATACTTTTACCTAGAATTGCGTGCTCCTTTGACTTGTTAAGTGAAAATATATCTATGTGTGCATGGATATAGTGAAGGCAGTGCGCAATGCCAAATTTGTGCAATTCTCTGATTTTTTTTAAGTAAAAATAGGTCGACGTGTACATGGATAAAGGCACAAACTTTCCTCCATGTATATGAAAATGTTAAAAAAGGAAGTCCAGTAAAGTCTTAAAAAGTTTTAAAAAGTATCCTTTATTTTAGATGAATCGCCCTGAAATGCTGAGCCATAATTAACAAATGCAGTCAAATCATGGTGAAAATTCCTTCAGTATATTGAAGTGTCTATTGTGTTTCTGTTGCACTAACATTTTCTTTAAACTTCATCTTGTTAGCTACATAGAATAAATTACGCAGGAGAACATTTCAAATAAAGCCAGAATATCCTAATTTCATATTAAGTTAGATTATTTTTTCAATACTGCAAAGCACATGAGAGCAAGAAGGATGTCTTCGTAAAGGACATTTTAAGAGAAACTGGCTTGTATTCACCTTACACATGAAGAAAAAGCATAAAATCTCGCATGCAGCCAGAAAATGCTAGCGTTCAGCAATTTTTAACACTCGGGTGCTCGTTGGCCTATTCTAGGATTTTTTTTTAATACTCAGCTTCTACAAGCTTATTTATATTTTGTTATAGAAAAGCTAGGCTACTGATAATTAAAGTAATTCGCAACATTTTCACAATACAAGCTAAAACCTCATCTTGCGACCTCCATATCAGTAACTGACTAAGAAAACGTTGTCGGGTTGTTTCAAGCTTGAAACATTCTTTTCGAAAGTTGGCCCATCAATTTAAAGAATATCGGCCCATCACTGTATCACTGTCTGAGAGTTAGAATTGGTAAATACTTGCAATCTGATGTGGGTTCATACCTCAAAGAGCAGGCTGGATGCATGGGAATTTTAGTGGTTTTCCACATCTTTAAGAGAATATGAGTAAATTTTGCATAACAAACTTTCACGATAGATACACATATATATGCATATGGATATATATAGATATATATCTAAATTTTAACAAACATGTATATACGTAAAA